TGAAACTGGGAACCCTGGACCACTCTGTGCTGTTGGTTCAAAATATAATATACTTCAATCACAAGGCAGAAATAGAGTAGGCTGAGGCATATAGAACAGTGAAATAATTAAGTAAAACTGGAAATGAAGAAAAATCCAAAAAAGGCTTCTGTAAAACTGCTCTCCACATATAATCTTCTACCTCCAGTCACACGGTCAAACAGTCCATAAGCCAACTGGAGAAGAACTGCAGGAAACTACAGTGTTGGCCTGTACATTTGGACCTGCACCATGAGCTGGCACAGGCCGCTGCGCTTTGCAGCAAGCAAGAGCCACATCCATCAAGACACATTCTCATCATTAGGTGCCTGCCTTCTTTGCAGGAAAGTAACCTTTAACATAAGCTTTGTAAGCAAAATACTTTAAGTTATGACAATTCATCACGAGAGAATGAATTACTGTCCTGCTAAAGAAACGAGGGGCGTATTTTCGACAACCCAAGCACTTGAAGCAAGTCTTGGGAAGCAACCTGTGTACGTTCTTTTAATTAGCAGCTACAACAACAATGTAAATTTTATTCCAGTGCTAGAACATTTAACAGCTCAGATTTCAAACATGGAAGAACTATGTCAAACTGGAAACAGCGTGCAAGATGTTTGTTTCTTTAACTGAACACAAATTGGATGTGGAATTTCCTTTTGGAAGAGAAGCTTGAATGGGAGATGGTTTCGATTCACATTTCTACATTGCATCATATATAAAAAATGATATAATGAATTGCAAATCTGAAGAATCCAGGCAACAGTAAAAAAAATGATAGTTTCAGGTTGAATATATTCAGTGGATCTCCTACTATGCAATCTGCTAGGCTCAAAGAATCCTGAGCTGGAAATGTTTTAGTTGCAATGCTCACTACACTAATTCTGCATTTGTCCCAGATAATAAACATGATAGTTATATCCCTTTAACTTCAGATGTTTAAGAGAGAAGTTGCAATAGACAAGATGGAAGTTCAACAGCCCCATAAATAGAGGTTATCATGGTTATTTGTAATAGAACATTATACTGTCTTTTGAACTACATTACAGTCTGTTAATCTCAATTGCTGGTCTAACAAAGGTAACTCTGAAGGCATTTAAATAATTTTATGGACCTGGCTCTGTGTTTTTGCAAACTGAATTAGATGGAGCAGTTCATCACAGGTTGCATGGAATAAACTGCAAGTACTTCGGGAGCACAAAGATACCACAGCCCAGCCTGCCTGGTAAGGCCGCTCTGTTACCTCCCAACTCTTCCCACAGCCCTAAAATGCAGTAAGGAGACATCTTCAAACAGGCAAAGGGGAACAAGATCCCTCTTCTTTAACACACACAGGCAATGGCTGCACAGCAGTTACTAAGACCAGGGAATGAAGCTTGTCCTCCAGCCCTCAGCTCTGCTGCACAGAGGGGGATTCGGGCCCTGAGAACACCAAACTGCCACTTGTCCTCCCCACCTCTGCACGTTTTCCCACTGCCCATTCCTGCACCTTCTAACTGCACCAGCATCCAACATATCACACGGGACAAGCAGGCCCCATCCTGTGTCTGCCACAGGAGCTCTTGTTTGCACCCACAGGGCTCTGCTTGGAGGCAAATTATTTGTACTGGACTGCGAGGGACCCACCTGTCTTCTTATGCACACAAGCTGTGTATTCGCCGCTAAATAATACTACTAGTAATATCAAAATAATGGTCTGCTATTACCACCCAAATACTCTGGCCTGTTCTTTATAGAACGTGTCTCTGGAATTGATTTTTTCAATGAGGATTTGCCCCTTTCTAATGAGACTGCTTGATATGTATTAATCATCAGAGTCTGGGAAAGTGAAGGACTGGAGGCAGTGCATCAGCAGTGCCACCATGCAAGAAGCTGTTTGCACACAAAGCATCAACCCTCCTTGTTTTAATTACTAATGTTCATTATATTTTGCATCCTGATGAATCATAACAATAAATAAAAAAGGTACAATGCAGGAATTTTGAAAAGTTGTTGCTTGTTCTCAGAGCACCAGAAAAAGTTTCCATTTTAAGTCAGCACAAAGTGCTCTCACAGAGATTTACAGCACTGGCAACAGTGTTTTACAATGGAATTTTACCCTGAAAGTGTGGATTTTACAGAGTTTATTGTAATCTAACTGCCTCACACTTTGTGTTTCTTCTTAAAGGATGAATATTTTTATGCTGACAGTACTGCAGAGGAGCTGCTGAGAGCTGTAGAGGTTACTCTCCCTAGGTTGGAGCCCTGCATCAAATGTCCTGGAAGTCCCTGGCTAAATTCCTAATTAGTGTCAGGATGTGCAAAAAAATGAAAGTCACACAAAACACTTCAGCTCTCTGTTTCTAGAATAATAATTTTCCTTAGAAAGACTATATTGACCCATACCTTTTTACTAATAAGCCAGTGGAGTCTTTGGTTTTAAAAGCAACCTGTGTGATCTCAGGGTAGAGTCGGAATTAAACACTAAGTATAAAATTTTAAATGCTCATTGTAATCCAAATCTAAGTCCAAGCACATCCTGCTGGACTCACACAGGGTGAAATTCCTGGGTAGCAGAGAGCTGGCACAAGCTCTCTACAGCAAGAAGCAGTCTATATATGCTGTGCCTAAGTTTTTGTGCCCTTGTGCAGAGGGACGATCCTGGCCCAGAGTCAAGTATTGCAAGTAACAAGTAATTTTGCACTGATCCTACCCTGCTCACATGCAGATGCTAAATCCATCAGCAACACTATTTACTGTGACCAATGTATGATTACAACCTCTCCAGCAAAAAGCCAACATCTTTATCAGATGGGAACCATTTATATAATACTCAACTTTCAATCCATGTAATCAGTGAATACACAATTATTTCATATTCTTCCCTATAAAGAGAATCCAGGTCAATTTGTATGCCAAGATGTTTTAAAATTCCACAAATAAATAAATAATGTTATTTCACCTGTTAACACAGAGGAACTGTTTGTTTTGGCCAGCTCACACGGATTCTGTGTGCCAGGTTATGAATAAAATAATGTTCAATACTCTAAACATTCTGTGATACAAATTCCTGGCTCAGCATAAACACAGACCTTTTTTATGTGGCAGGTTCCTAATGCATTCTCCAGCACTGACACCATTAAATCCATCTATCTATAAAAGAGTATACTTATAAATATTTTTAATTCCTAATCATAATGTAAAAAAATGCAATTGCAGATAAGCCAATTTACCCATCATGGCCTTCTATTTCACCAGAGTTTGCTTGCTGGAGTTTGGCTTTTGGAAAGTAAAATGCTCCTACTGTATCCCAGTGGTTTCTGCGCATGCCGTACATTCCAGAACGGAAAGTAGGCTTTCCGTTTAAAGAATAGCACAGTAACAAAGATAAGATAAAACCAAATTGGAATATAATATTCCTGGGAAATTTCAGTCCTTTATGCAAACATCAAGTTAGTAATGTAAAGATGCTTTAGGAACAACAAAATGTAAGTTTCTTACACTGTCAGGCCCCTTCCCAAGCAAAACTACCTGTAACTTTAAGATCTCAATGCAAATATAGAGCAGACTTTGCTGTGGTTTACTCCAACCAGGAATGACTTCCACTGGTGTCACTGGAGATATTAAGTTCAAGTTGGAGTAAGTGAGGGCAAAATCTTGGCCTCAGGTGTGTACCGATGGTTTTGGCTCTTCATTTAAAATGATGGCTCGCTTTCATTTCAGGCAGCTGGAGTAAGTCTGGGACTGGACTGTGCTGTGTAGCTCTCTACACAGCATGAAATTCGGCTGCACAGCTTTAGTCTTGTATTTGTGCTAACGAAACAGTGTGCTGTTTGCAAGACCTGCACGGGAACTGAATTCAGCTGTGAGTGCTCTGCCTCTGGGCAAATCTACTAGGGTTTCCCTGCACTTCCCTCAGTAGTATTCAGGGTAACTACAGTTCTCCCACATCTTCAGATTTATTATCTATGAAATAAGAAGATGAAGGCATAAGTATTGTTTTGTTTCGGACTGGGCTTCTTTTCTCCCAAACAAGGTCTTCCTATGACCAGGTTCAATTCCAGATCTCCTATGTGCAGGTTGGCTCAACCTTTTCTGAATACATATGGTTTCTGAGGGCTGCTGTTAGGATAGTATCTTACGGATTCCATCACTCTATTTGGCTTTCCAAAGCCCTGGGACTCTTCCTTCCCCTAACGGGCACGCAAATCTCTCCTTGAGATTGAGGAACCAGACCCCAGTTGCACTATCCTGGCCTGGAAGCCCAAAGCACACTATTGAGCTGACTTGTGTCCCTTAGGATTGCTCTCTCCATGTTCTCTCTTCTCAGATCTGTACTTATGTTTTGGGGAGACAAAACTCTCACCACAATCTCCTTTAAAGATTCCCCTTTTTCCTCAATGACTAGGTTTATAATTGCGAATTTTTAACACACAGGTGTTCAAAGAAATCAGACTTCTGCTATTTTCCTTTTAACTTCCCCAGACTAGACAAGGGTCCCCTCCTTAATTCTCTGTGCTCCTTCCTGCAAGATGCTGCTGACAAACTCCTTTCTGCAGAATTCAATCTGATAGCCAGGGCTGTTTGGAGTTCATTTATCCAAACAAGGAAGCAGGCTGAGCATCACTTATAAAGGAACTTTTGGACAGCAATGGCTCAGTTGATGAGTTAGTTTTGCTCTGTGGTGGGAATTTTTATTGGCAAAAAAGTGAATGTTTGTGCAAGTTTTGCCTTTGGAGGATTAAGTTGTCAATTAATGCACCTTCTATCCTGTTTCTAGAATGCTTCTCTAAAACTTGCTGTCACATCCATATGTCTGTGTTGCAATGTTAGAGTCATACTAAGGGAAAAGTTTTAATCCCAGCAAAAACTACAGTCAGAATCAATTAACGCCTTCCTTTTCAAATATTTAAATTGAAACTGAAGAATAGACACTGCACACACAAGCATGGCACTCTGAACAGCTTTTTACCTGGGAAGAAAATAGTAGCATTCACTGTTACCTTTGACCAATCTCCTGTTTTCCATTCGTAACAGCCTGTGTGATCCTCACACTCTTCCTCATCTCTTGGTCTTGTGGCTGCATCACACTTTCCTTGAGAATTTGTGCATGTCACTGTTCTTTTCTGGATCCCTTTGCCACAGTCTTCTGAACACTGCAAAACAACAGGCATTTGCTTTCTTCAGCTAGTGCATGATGCCTAAAAATGCTAAACTTCTATCTTGGTAATAGAAACAAATGGAAAAGGTAGTTCATTAGCAGGTAATACAGAGAAAAACTAACACCACAAAAGATTTTTGCCCACCTCCTTTCACACATACAGAAGTAATTTGAAAAGTTTAACTGCCTGGGAAATATTTTGCTTCTGAAAAAAACAGCAATTCTAGAAGTCAACCTTCTCTGAAAAATATCAACTGGCACTGTGCTAGAATTGTGTTACAGATGAAGAATCACCAACTTTTACAATTAAGAACATGTTCATAGCAAGATTCACAGCCCAGAACTGCCATATCCCTTGATGAATTGTGGGACTTAAATGACTGGGAAAAGAAAGTGGTAAAAAATGCATTTTTAAATCACAGTAGCCTGACATCACTGTTATATAACTTTGCAATATACTTCTGCAGCACAGTTTCTACAAATAAAGGCAAAGTCACAGCTCACAAACCTTCTCATGACTATTTCAATAGCTATGTCAAACCCCTATGTGAGCTTTAACTCTTGATTTTATAATTTCTTCATCACAATGTTAATTCTGAAGAACTTCAAAAGGTACAAAGCATGTAACCCAGGAGGGAAGGCACAGTGTTGTCATCAGCTTCCAACCAGGGCCAGCAAGCACGAACACGAGCAGGGAGGAAAGGTGGGTTTCTCTACACTAAAAGCATAGTCAGAGACCGTTTAAGGTCTGAGAAAGCACCAGGCCATTAGGTTTGCTAAAATCAGTTGCTGGAGGAAGACTTGATTAAAGCATTTGGGCACTGTAAGAAACATTTTTGTGGGTGGACACAAATGGCCCACAAATCTTTTTGGGCTCAGGCATTATGGAGGTAGCTTCTGGGAACAGGGAAATCCGGGCTCCAGTTTGTTATCTTTGTCAAGACATGGCTGGAAATTCTGTTCTATTGGAGAATCTGTTCTGATTTTGTCGCCTGTATTAGGTGGGAAACGGACACTGCCAGGAACTGAAATTGAGAAATACTGTTTGAAGGAACCAGTTAACACAATAAGAGAGCTGCTGATGTCGTCACAGCCATCCAAGTGCAGACCAACACACAAGAGCAGAGCTAGTCTCGCTGCTCCTCGCTCTCACGCCACTGCAGTGTTAAGAGTGAGACATTTTCTTGAAGAGCTTGGGGACAGGTGGGTGGAAAAATGATATATGTACCAACAGAGATAAAAACTAACCTCTCTAGAGTGTCAAGTTCTCCCCTTTAGGGGAAAAGCAGGGAAAAGACAGTTGATCTGACACTGAATAAATAGTGAAGATATGAGATAATCTGTGAGGTCTTTTGAACGTATTCCAAGAAGCTCTTCCATCTAGGGGGTCTATGCTGGAAACAAGCACCAGCTTGATATAAATTACATCAAATGGACAAATCTCAGCATGCCTGTCTAACTGTCTTAAAAATACAATCCGGGCAGTTCTGACCTGCTGGCCTTGTTAAGGACATGAATGACAAGCGTTTATGAGCTGGCAAGCAAACAGACATGCCTTTGAATACTTCAGAGCACTACAAAGTGACTTCGTGAAAATCTGGGAAAACTTCCATTTAATTTACTATGTGCTGTTCATGGTGTGACCTCCTTCTGGAGCTTTGTGACAAGCACAACTGTATAGTTCTGCTAGATACGGGATGAATTCTGCCACACTTTGGAGATGACTCTAACAACTGCTTTGCTGGACTTCTCAAAGCCCAAAACTCCCCTGGTTACTTCCATAATCAAAACTTCCCAGCTTACTTCCATAACCCAGGCTGCCCTGTTACCCCCCAAACTGTACAGACTTTCCCAAACTCGTTATCATTTTCTGTCCATCCAGTCCAGTTCCATCAGTCCAGGGTGGATTCCTTAGGATTCCACTCACTCATCTCAAAGTATAAAGCATAATATATAAAATCAATCAAAAGGTCTGATTTACTGCAAGCAAATCAAGCTGAAGTAGGAGTATTTTTCCACAGTATAAGAAAACCCTAGGTGGGTTTCACAAGCAAATCTGGGAACACCACCAACTGTTTGTTCTTCCCACAAGCTTTTAAGTCGCTCACAGATTTACAGTGAATATACTTTCCTAAACAAAACAGCATTTGCAAAAGGTTTCCAATAGATCTTTGGTGGTCACATATAAATCATCCCTTTCAAGATTTTTTTTCTTTCCTTGAGTCTTCTGTCTTTGTGAAGAATTTCTTAACACAGACTTTACAAAGATTCCACAACAGAGTAGTCTATTAAATAATATGTGCAATCACTTAATGTCCAGTTTAGATTATAAGATCTTATTTTATTAACATAGGACATAGTCAAATCCCTCGATTTTGCAAAGCAGAGTGCAAATTTGCAGCTAAAATACATCCCTGTTATTTGAAGGAAATTCATATTTTTTTTTCTACTCCAGTTCCTAAACAGTAGAAATATTCACTCTTTTGTAACTCTCTATTTTTGTCATTAAAAATAGGCTGAGTAGTACCTTGTCCAAAACAATCTCAAGCGCTTGGCAATAAAAGGGGAACTTAATTTTTTTCCATCCCAAAGACTGTCTTGGAATTTGCTTTGAGAACATACATTCTTGATTGGGGACCAGACATCAATGTGCACTTAGTTCAACTATTTTTTGTCACATAACCATAAAGTTGAAAAACGTACATGAGAAAATTGGTTTATAAAATGTTTTCACTACTGTGATATTTACTGCCCAACATCTGATTAGAAAGTTAAGGATTAAGCTGATTTCCAGTAAAGAAAGTTTAGGCATGAGAAATGTCTGAAGTAGCATAGCATCAAATGTGTTCTCAGGACAACCTTTCTTTATAATAGCAGAAATCTGCCCAAACAGGAATGAACTGACCCAACAAATGTGAAAAAAATCAAAATAAACCGGGTATTTAAAATATTATCTAAAAAATTTACATGTTTGTAAGAGGGCTATGTGGTTACAACTATGGAAGATTTCCACTATGGAAAAACTTCCTAGGGCTCGACCCACTCCTCTTAACAAGAAGAGATGAGCACCTGGGATTGCTTATGAAAACCCACAAGCATTCGAATCACGGTGGAACAGGTGGAAGTTGCACCGTGACAAAAGCATTGATACAATTCAGCTGGTTCAGCCGTGAGACATAAAGAAGGCATTATCTGAAAGGGTTACTTCTCTAACACATAAAAGACCTGCAAGACAATTTATTAAAGCTCTGATGTGTTTCTCCACACCTTTTGAAATAAAAGGACTCAGAAAAAAAATGAATTGTGTGTATTAGTGAACAGGTCCATCATCCTACAGAATGGAAACATTACTGCCACACCATCTCACTCGCCAAACAAAAAAATCTCCTGTTCAAAAGATGAACCATGGAATAACGTTGTGTTAAGAGTCTGATCCTCACTGAAAGTCTCTTGCATGTTGAGCTTTCTCTGTGACTTTTAAGCAAGTTTTACAGTGGTATCTTGCAAAAACTCTTTGGTAGTGCTTTAAACAAGAGTTCACAGTTTCAAAATAGAGATGGGTAACAACAGGAGATCCTTCCCATGGAAGAGGCTGCTGCTGGACAATGCTGTAACATTGTCAGTCTGGAGTGAGACTGGTAGAGGCAAAAGCAACGCACCAAGATTGAAAGGATATTTTCATCATTGCGAAAAGCCTAACAGATACAGGTGTGAAAATTAACATGGAAACTGTTAGGAGTGTTGCTCACAAGGTACAGACAAGTGATCTTGTATTAACCTTGCCTGGGTCAGGCAGACATACTCCCAGTTCACCCTGTTGCTATATAAAATGCATGCACGCTCATGGGTTCTGTCTAGGCCATGCATTATTTATATGTAGAATGTGTTCATAGCTCAGAGAATAAATTCTTAACTCTCTGTAACTGCACAGAGATGTACCTATATATGTATAAAATTTACCATGTTTTCCGTGTTCTGAGAACTACACAGAAGAGGATTGGACAAGGCCCAAAGATTGTACATTCTCTGTAACATACAGCTGTCTGGCAAATACTGTTTCATGCTGCACTCAGGCCGAGCCAGAAGGCCTGGTGGGTTACTGCATTTCTGGCCTCAAGTCAGTGAAATGTTTTTCCTTGCTGGTCAGAGTTTTCGGATGGAAATACACAGCCACTATGGCATGATACCTAAAACCTGTGATAATAACTCTGCTTGGTACAAAATACGAATCTCAGCTCCAAACTCATCATCTCAACAACTCCTACCAGCTGCCCCAGGCCCGATGAGAACATGCTTAGCATTAATAAGCACTTGGACCAAAATACATCCAGAGCTGCACGCTGCCTGGCTCCTTTCTTGAAACTAGCTCCTACCTTAGACCACTCTGAAGCTTCCCAGATAGAAAGGCAGTCCCGGCCTTCACAGCTTTGTACAGTCGTTGGTTTGTTGCCGAGGCAGTAGAGGTCTCTTGTGTTAACGTAGGTGCCGTTTTGCAGCTGATAGACACAGGTCACTTCCCGGTGCTGGGTCCCTTTCTCACAAGTGGCAGAGCAGGGACTCCAATGGCCGGTTATCCACCTGGGAAGGAGACAGAAACGTTTAAAAAAAAAAAAAAAAAAAAAGATGGGATAAAATTATGCTTCTCCTAAAAACAGGAAGAAATGTGCAGCCGATCCCAGGTTTGTGAGCTCTCCGAGAGTGCTGCTGCATTGCTGGTGCTACAACCAGGTCCTCCTGGAGCTAAGTGTGTGGAGCAGAAAAGGTGCAGCATGCAGGCGAATCCCTGCTCCTGGCTCCACACTAGACAGAAACACAAATTCTGCATAAATCCCTCTATCCCCCATCCCTAAAGCACAGCTGCACTTCTCCAGACAGATTTGTCTGTAGACCATCTATCCCACAAATACTGTCCCCCTTGGCTGGCAGAAGCGCTGCTGGAGCCGCGAGCACGTCCTCACCACGCAGGAGAGCCGGGCAGGAACCTGTGCTGCTGCGGCCCCTCAAACCCCAGCCGGGCAGCTCGGCCCGGCCTTCCCGCCGTCAGGACCAGCGTCGGCTTCCCTGGCCCTGTGCTGCATGACCTCAAAGCAGGCACTTCCTCTACATCCCCGCCTAGCGCCCGGCACAGACAGCTCCTGTCTCACCTTTAGTTCACCCTCTTGCTGGTGAGACTTCCCTTTCCGCAGTTTTGGGCCTGCCTGGATGCTTAACTGGAATTTTATCTGTTTGAAGCTCTGGCATTTGTGACCTTAAAAATGAGAGCTAACTAGTCATATTCATTCTTAACAAATCTGAATTAAATTAAATTGCCAGTGCTCAGGAAATACTGAAATAGGTTTTCCTTCTAGAACGGATCCTCAGTATTGATTCAAAGCAGCCACCACTCACACAGACGAGCCATAACCCAACCTGGACAGGGAGGAGTAATTTCCTATAACCCTCTTTTTTTTCTGGGGCTTTATTTACCTTGTAAGCATATTTCTATTGTCGTTTCCTTCCCTTTTGATCAAAGTGTGCTTGGAACAAATACGCCACGCTTTTATTTGCTTTGTTTCGTCTTGAAGGATTCTTTGGCAAACATCCAGTCCAATCCTGCGAGGTGTGGGGCTCTTGTGAAGTTAATGAAGGCCCCGCTGCCGTGAGCAGCCTCTGAACGTGGCCATGCTGCAGAAATGAGGGGCTCTCACTCTGATCACAGAATCATAGAATGGTTAAGGTTGGAAGGGACCTCTAGAGATCATCCAGTCCAACCCCCCTGCACACGCAGGGTCACCTAGAGCACGTGGCACAGGGCTGCGTCCAAGTGGGTTCTGAAGATCTCAGGAGAAGCAGACGCCACAACCTCTCTGGGCAGCCTGTTCCATGGCTCTGGCACCCTCACCGTTAAGAAATTTTTCCTTAAGTTCCTGGGGAACTTTTGGTGTTTCAGTTTGTGGCCATTTCCTCTAGTTCTGTTGCTGGTGGTCACCAGTGAAAAGAGGCCAGCACCATCCTCCTCACTGCCTCCCTTGAGGTACTTATAGACACTGCTCAGGTCCCCTCTCAGCCTTCTCAGAAGAGAACTGAGGCCGAACAGGCTGAACAGGCCCAGCTCCCTCAGCCTCTCCTCATAGGGCAGATGTTCCAGGCCCCTGATCATCCTTGCAGCCCTGCACTGGACTCTCTCCAGCAGCTCCATGTCCCTCCTGTACCGGGGGGCCCAGAACTGGACACAATACTCCAGATGTGGCCTCACCAGGGCTAAGTAGAGGGACAGGATCACCTCCCTCGACCTGATGTCCACCAGCAAAGGGCAACTCAAAGTCTCCCACTGACTCCTGGAAGTGCTGGAGGCATCAACTGAGGTTAGGGCTTCACGGGGCGGCAGTAGAGAAAATGCCTAAGAAGGATCAAATTAGGAAATATGTAGGGAGGAACAATTATTTCCTTAAGACAGGCAGCATCCATCTTCACGCTTCCTGCAATCTGTCAGGGAGGAACATGCACTCTGTAATTACGAGCATTCCTGGATGAAGGGCAGACTGGAGCAAGAAGTGCGTGTGCGCTGCCCCGGAAGGCTCTTCTCACCAGGTAGTTGACCTTATGGTCTGTTATTCAGGATGTCATCTAGATTAGTATCCTTCTGCAATGAATCCTTTACTTGTCACCCAGTGCTGGGTTGTTTATTGCAATAAGAAGCTCAGGTAAGATTTCTCAAAGATGAAAGCCTGCTCAGAAGCATAATTTCAATATTTCAATAATCCAGCTAGAGAATCATACATGCCAGCTTATTAGCCATGTTTCTTTTAGTATTGCTGCAATCACTTCTAAATGCACAATAAAACCCTTTCTCATTTTCCCGTTCTTGAATAGGAAAAAATCAGTTTGGTGCAATTTGCAGAAAGCTCCTCATCTGGTGCAATTGTCACGAATTCATTTGCCAGCTGCTGTGATTGATGACATGGTGGGACCGCGTTGCTGGTGGCTGCGTGTCCGGGCAGGCTGGGCCACCTGTCCCCTGGAGAAGCGGGCCCCGCTCAAGTGTTTCTGTGCATTAAAGCAGTTGACACATCTGTGAATTTCTGTTGGCTGAAACAGCTGGAGAGACACCAAACCTGTTTCTCTAGACAGTAGTTCTGGCGCATCTCTGTGGCTGAGTGCTTGGTATTTTGCCTATGGAATGGGAGAATGCCAGCTGGGTAATTGAATACTGCAAGACTGACAAAAATAGCCTCCAAATGCAGAAATCAGTGTGCCTGAAAATTAACAGGCAGCCTCTCTTGGTATCACCTGGGCTTGGCTCTATCGGAGCAAATGTGGGAGCAGCTACTGATGTGGGTGAAGGAACCGCTCGACACGGGCATGGAGGGGGAAGCAGTGACTTTGCTTTATGAGCTGAACGTGAGTCACGGGGCCGGGAACCGTTTCTGTTCAGGCTCCACTGAACTAATATTCACATCAGCACTGTACACACACCGTGATCTACAGCTACTGGCAAAAGAAAAAGGGAAAAGGACTGCAAGCAAAGGAGAAAGATAAAAATACATTCTTGGCAGAGGCTGCCTGTATGCTTCCATTCAGGATGGGCAGCACATGGCACACCAGGCATTTCCAAGATACCTTAAGAAGTCGGGTTACAACCTTTTTTTCAGGAAAGAAAACTCTTCTCACTCCACTCTTGTGGGGGAGAAAAGCCGTGTCATTTTTCTCCTGTTCAGTGGTCTCTAGTTAGCACTGCGGCACAGAAAGAATGAGTATCATCATCACCATTACGAGAAAAATGAATGCACAGGGCACGAGCCAAAACCCAACAAGGGAAACAACAGAGGGAACAAGGGAAATCAACAGAGAGCTCTGGTTCGGCTGACTCCACATCCAGTCTGTTGTGAAAAGGCGACCTCCGAGGTTTCTGTTAGAGCTGTATGTCCAGCTTCAGCTACTGACCCACCATATACCTCTCTAAGCCCACCCGTTCAGTGGATGGTTACAAAGAACCTCTCTGAACCAGACAGCATGAACCCAAATCTAGCTGCTGTTGACTTTGGCAATGAATGCTATGATAGCACCACTGGAGAGCGCATTTTACATCCACTGCACCATCATCCAAACCTTCATCTACCTCCCATGATTCTACATCTGGAATAAAAAGACTATTTTGATACTGGGGGTGTGTGTTAGTTTCATGTCTGCGAGATAAGCAACAGACTAAGTTATTGAATAATAATAACAATAATATAAGGTATTTCCAAAGGCACCAAGGGAATGATCAGTTTGACCATGCAACTTCATCCTCCCAGTGAAATCACTGCTTGGTTCAACAGCTGGTAAGAAAGATCTTGCAAACAAGGAAATGTGAGACCTGTATGCAGTACTGCAGGGCTCTGACGTCTCCCAGGTCCCTCTACAGCCCCTTCACAGTTAGCAGAAAATGTTATTTTAGTGCCTATAAGAGACACAATCACTGAAACTGTATTTTAACAACATGGTTCGCAACTAGCCTGGAAATACAAAAGATAACACGGAAATGCCTGCCAGTTTCTCATTTGGTAAAAGAATGTGCAGCAAGGTACTAGCATAATTACTATCTGCAAAAGACAGCATAACAAGTAATGTACAGACTGGCCAGAGAATGTGATGTACGAATAGTATCACATTAGGGTTACCACTAAATCACACTACAGACAGACTTTCTTTTCTACACTGTTATTGTATCTTCTGAACACACTGGATGTGTTTAAGAACAAAATCTGCTTTTCACTTTTTTGAAACGTATTTTTCTTATGACAATGTCAAAAATAATTCCACTTTTCTAGCTTAAAATGCCAAGCCACCTCTGTATTGTTAACTAAGCCAATTAACTTACAGACTGAGCCCCATTCACGCCGTATACACTGTTTGGCTTCCACTTATCTTATAAGCCTGTAACCTGATCTCCGGGATTGCCTGGTATCAGAGTGCTTTTCAATTTGGTCTTTTCCTCCCAGGTCATAACCTGTCTTCAGCTGGACCATCTGTTTGCTCTAGCTGGAGCCAGGGAGAGCCTCTCTCCTCTTTCCCACACAGGTTGATTTGTGTGACTCACACACTCACTGCTCATCATTCTCACAATTCTGGGGATGATTTTATCCATGGCATTACTTTTCGCAACCTTACCTCTGCAGAAAATTCAAGAGCTAGATGGTACCAGCTGGTGGTTAGATCCAAGAAGGAAATGCTGAGCTTTTAAGTATAGATTTTTAACCCAGCTGCTTTTCTAGCCAAAAAAATGCCCAGAAGGGTGTATTTTTTGAAGTCTCAAAAGACTGGGATAGGCAGGATATGCAATCTGAGAGGGCTGTTTTAAATCTTTGTCTTCTGAATCTTCCTCAACCTCTGACCTCTCAGTATCTCTCTTGAGGAATTGGGAGTTCTTCTAATCTGCTTTGGCAACACTCATCTGGCAGGCCCCTGGAGCAAACTTTAAGTATCTCTTGGAGTTTGAGTTCATCATTTGATCTTTCTATGGTCTGGATTAGTCATTAACCTTGAATTATCCACTCTACCTACTTGCCTATGACTCCCACATTTTCTAAGAAAAAAATAGTGTCTACACAGCACTA